GAGTTGAAATCACAGCAGGATTGAGGATTTAGCCTCACTAAACACCACTATATATATGGGGTTCAATCTCATCCAAAGAACAAGTGTTTTTCTTCTCATCAGTAAATTCAAAGCAGTTTTGCCCTCAGGGCACTGACAGTCCCAAGGCTTCCCACCCTCCCTCTCCATTCCTAGCCCCATCATTCCCTTCCAAGAGCTGTGTGCTGGCTATGAGGGACACACTGGGAAGGCAGCTGACTGTGCATCACACCACACCACCTGCCTGCATGAACGACATGTTCAGTATCAAGTTATTCAGTTCAATTGCTGACAGAACCATTACACTGATCTACACTGCTAGATGAAGCAAGAGCCAAGGGGAGACATGCAGAATACAACATCTCTGAAAATACGCTTTGATTTAAATGTAACTCAACAATCAACTTCATGCACACACCAGAAGTGTGCATGATTACAAAGTGTTTTGATGGCTCTGTGACCTTTAAGTTTTCCTTCCAGAAAGCTCTTTATTTGGCTGTGAGGGACCAAGGTTGCTTTTGGTTTTTTAGGATAATTTTAATTCTGATAGAGCTCAGATAAGAATTGGGATAGTTGCCAAACTATAAGTCTCACCTCAAGTTTCTAGGGCACACATTTTTCCTTCCCAGCTAAGAAAGCCAGGGGAGTCCAGAGAGTGATGGGACATGAGAAATCCCTTCACACTGACAGAGGACAGAGTTAGATGGGATATTAAGAAGAAATTCTTCCCTGTGAGGGTGGTGAGGCATTGTCACAGGTTGTCCAGAGAAGCTGTGGCTGTTCCAACCCTGGAAATGTTCCAAGCCAAGTTGGATGGGGCTTGGAGTAACCTGGTCTAGTGGAAGGTCTCCCTGCCCATGGCAGGGTGTGGAACTGGCTGAGCTTTAAGGTCCCTTCCAACCCAAATCATTGTGGGATTCTACAACTAAAAGGAGCTTTTGGGAGTGAAGAACTCCAAAACTCTCCAAAAAATTCTGAAAAAGCTTATATGGTATCATACTCTCCTCAGGTCATGCAAATACAAACACAGCTACAGCTACGGCATTCTGCACATCACTCCTAAATCCACTGCTAACCTTCCAATGTTGGCTTCGATGTCAGAGGCAATCACACACATATCGCTATCATATCATAAATGCAGTCCCACATTCATTAGGATGAAGTATTGTACCCTGTAGCACAAGGAGGATTGCTCACCTGACCTGATTTTACTGCTCATAATGCCAGAGATTTTAGGATCTACAGATTTTTACTCAAAGACTTAAAAAACAAAACATTTTGGTTTGCTAACCTGATTTCTGGAAGGAAGGTTTTCTTGTAAGCATCCTCAATGTTCTGGAGATACGAAGGAGACACCTTTTTCTCATATGGCTAAAACCAAACAGAAAACAATGTTGTGGAATTAATTTTCTTTCTTTTCCCACCAGCACAGACTGCAGCGTAAACAGAAGGGCTGCTACACCTCCTGCCAAGAGCTCACTCTGGAATAAGCAGACCTCCAAGTGAACCACACAACAAAAGTTTCAAGAATTAAGAAATTTGGAGTGTTCAGAATTCCTTATATAGCATTAAACATAAGAGTAGCCTTCCAAAAGATTAGCTCTCCAAGGACTGAGCAGTCCTTGCTACCTGCACCCTCAAGGAAGCTGTATATAATCACCCAGGAAACAGAAGATTGTCTCAATCTACCTCTTCCACAGTTTCAAACAAGTGCATGGACAACCATCCACTCCAACCACCCACTCCAAAATTCTTCCTTGAAATTTCAGGGATATCACATCTGCTGTTGTACAGTTTGTTTTCCACACAGTGTACTCTAATACCATACTTGCAAAACTCCAGGGACTTCTCTAATCTACCACGTCTTTCTTCAGTCCTAAATTTAACTCCAGCTCCTGCCTGAAATGCTTATCCAAGATGCCCTTTATGTTGGGAGGATCTGTGTCTCTGCAAGCTGGTCCCACCGGAAGGCTTTGCTTTTTCCAGTGCCTCACAACAGCACACTGAACACCAAAACTCCATCTGCTAAAGCAGCAGAACTCCCCACATACCATCCCCAAACAAGCCCTTCAGTGCTCAGCAGTGCCACTGACCCACAAAGTGGCAAACTACACTAGCAATTTCTGCCTAAAGGTCTCAAAAACACCACTGAGCTTTATGCTCACATGGGCAAAGCCTCACAGCTTCCTCCAATACACGAAGAATCATAGAATCATAAAATCAACCAGGTTGGAAAAGACCTCAAAGACCATCGAGTCCAACCCCACCATGGTTACTGGACCATGGCACTAAGTGCCACATCTAGTCTCATCTTAAGAAGTTTCTAACTGAGAATTTATTCCTCACAAATCAAAGCTTTCTTTTAATCTATCAGGTTTTCCCACAGTTAAACACTTCACTGGGCTAAATTTCCCACAGCCTTTGAATCAGGAACAAGGTAAACATCATTTAATCTTCAGAACATACATGAAAGCAGTTACAAGCACATGTCTATACATCACAGAAGAGCAGGGAACAAACCAAAACCTTATTTGGATTAGTCATTACCCAAAAGCACCCTACAGCTTTTCTGACCCAAGACTAGTTCAATAACCCAGTGATCCAGCAGTAATTTTCTTCATTTCAGGGAGTGAACTGAACCTGCAGATCCCAAGTGACTCATACATTAACCTCAACAGAGGTGTGAAGAAGCAGTCAACTGGGAAAGTGGAGACAGGGATCCCAGCTGAGCTTCTGGCACTCAGGAATAATACAGACAATCTTACAGTGCACTGCAAGAAGCATATTACCTGGGCATGACACCTCAAGTGGCAGCTGCAAAGGCTGGTTTGCAGAGCAGGTAAATATTTTGATCACTGTAGTAGTGACAACATATTGATGCAGTGCAAAAAAAAGTTGATTTTTGCCTTACTTTTCTTTTCAAAACAAGCATAGGAGAATACCCACAGTGTCATCACCAACATACAGATCTGACACCTAAGAACACAAGAAGCTCTTCAGAAGCAGAGTTCTGCAGCAAAACCCCCAGGACTCACACACCAAGGTGTGACTACAACAGACATTAACAGGCAGCAATAGTGAGAGACAGGTAATAATAAAAATGAGAGAGAAAAAAGCAATAATAAGAGATAAAATCACCTTGCCCTTCTCTTGAATCCTCTTCTGCACCTCTGGGACAGGGACATCTAGATAAATGACCAAATGAGGTGGCAAGAATTCACAAATGCTGATCTCTTTGATCTCCTTGTAGTGATCAAGGCCTGTATAAGACACAGATAAATCACACTCCCGACCTCTGTATCTGCAGTCTCCTCCTCTTGGCTGACAGAGCACATCTAGGGTAGGGTTTTCCTCAAATAGGATTCAGAAAGTTTACGGAATAAACAATGCCCAAAGCAAAGCAGGATTAAACTAAGAAGCTACATGTTCTGAGACCTAAGAATCTGACCCCAGTTACAACAAAGAGGGGATTTATTCCTGACTCAAGTTCAGAAGAATCTAGGTTCTTCCTCCATCATTTACAGACAGCACTCAGCGGTCCCTCTAACAAAGATGCTTGTTCTTTAAGGATTTCAGTACAATCCATTACTTGCCGCTGGATTTTATACAAAACAGTATCACTCAGGTTGGAAGGAACACTCACGAATCACCTGGTTCAACCCCTCAGCTCAGAGCAGATGAGACCCAGGATTCTGGCCCACAGCATTCTGAGTCTCTCCAGGAGACAGACTGCAGGCAATCTGCTCCAGGGGTTCACTCCCTTCACAGCAGAGAAGGATTTTTTTCTTATAAATGAAACCTTCTGTATTCCAATTTGTGCCCTGTCCTCTAAGTGCCCAGTATTCCCCCCCATCCCTTCTCTCCTGTGTTATTTATACACATAAACACCACCAGGTATTTATAAACATCCTCCTGATGTTCATCCTCTTCCCCAGGCCAAAACCCTCAGCTCTCTCAGCCTCTCCTCACACACTGAACACTCCAGTGTTTTAGTGACCTTCATGGTCCTTTGCTAGACACACCCCAGGAAGTTCACATCATCTTCCCAACAATACTCCACATTTGGTGATCTCCTGCCTTGACCTGCTGCCAACACTCTTCAGGCAGCATCCTGGTGGCATCCTTGCTCCAAGGACACAGTGGTGACATACATTCCACTTGGGGTCCATCAGGATGCCCAGAACTCCTCTGCCTAGGTTTCTAGACAGCTGGCTTCCAGCTTATGATTGCCTGTAGCTATTCCTTCTCAACGGAAGGACTTCTAAATCCATTTTGTAGACTTTCATGAGGTGCAGATTGCTCTCCAGGTTCCTCTAAACAGCACCAAACACATATGGTGTGTCAAACCATTCCCCTCTCCAGTTTGCAACACCTGAAAATCTCCTGAGGCTGCACTCTGTCCTGCCATCCATGTTTTAAACTCAGTTTAAACCTGGTTCAGGCCCAGTATCCTCCCCTGGGATACAGTACTGAGCTTTGCACTGCTGATCACAACTCAGAGCCCAGCAGTTCAGCCACTTTGCAACCCACTGCCCACAAATCTAATCCTCACTCCATCAGTTTGTCAGTGAGGAGGTTGTGAGGCAGCACTGAAAGTGCTGCTTCAGATCACCAACAGCCACTGCCCTGTGCTCACCCTCTGAGCCAGCTTTCCAGGAGGAGCTCACTATCAGGTGTTGGAGCATGATTTCTACTGCATAAAACCATGATGACTACTGTCTATCATCTTTGTATCTTCACGTTTGGATACAGCTTCCCAGAAGATTTGCTCCATCACCTTCCTGCAATCAAGCAGAGGATGACTGGCCTGCAGATCCCTGGATCTTCCTCATTTGCCCTTCTTAAAAATAAGAGCAATATCTGCATTCTTCGAGATTCAAAAGGGCTGTTTAAGGCAAGTCAGCCAAACCCTGCTGACCTGTTAATTTGCTCAACACTTAATAATGCAAGACCACAATCTGCCTGAAGGAGCTCTAGTCTTCATCACCACACACATGCATTCCCAGGGAACTACAGCAGTCTCTGGCTCACAAGACACAAGCAAGAGTGGTGAGACACTGGCACAGGTTGCCTGGAGAAGCTGTGGCTGCCCCATCCCTGGAAGTGTTCAAGGCCAGGTTGAATGGGGCTTGGAGCAACCGGAGCTAGTGGAAGGTGTCCCTGCTCATAGCAGGAGGGGGAACCAGATGGGCTTTAAGGTCCCTTCCAACCCAAACCACTCTGGGATTCTGGCAGAATAACTTCCTATTGCCTGGCAGGAACTCACATCGCTTGTGGACATATCCCTGTTTGAACATTGCATCCAGAAACACGAAGTCGCTGTAGGGAGAACGTTCCAACACCACTCCTTGACCTGCAAGTGAAAACAGGGTCCAGGTTGGAATGTGAGGAGCGTTAAGGTCCCTTCCAAGCCAAACCATCCTGGGATTCTGGTGCATACTTCTGGTGAAGCAACAGGTGAATCAGTGTTGGGATAGGAAATCTTTTCTCCCCAGGAGATGCTCAGATTATAACAAAGGATCTGAAGGGGCCCCACAGAGGAGCCAGAGAGGGACTCTGTTAGGAACTGCAGTGACAAGACAAGGGGTAACAGATTCAAATTGAAGAAAAGGAAATTTAGGTTAGATATTAGGGAAAAGTTTTTTCCTGTGAGGGTGATGAGACACTGGCACAGGTTGCCCAGGGAGGATGTGGCTGTCCCAACCCTGGCAGTGTTCAAAGCCAGGCTGGATGAGGCCTTGAGCAAACTGGTCTGGTGGGAAGTGTCCCTGCCCAGGGCAGGGGGTTGGAACTAGAGGATCTATAAAGTCCGTTCCAACCCCTAAAAACTTTATGATTCTATGATCATGTAGTCCAACTTCTGGCCCTGCACAGGATATCCCAACAATACAGCATGTGTCCGAGAGCAGGTTACTCGCACCTTACAGTCAAGAGTGAATTTAGCAAGGAGATTTATGCCCTGTGACAGCCAACCTGTGCTGAGCAGGTGCTCCAGGGCGTCGGCGTACTGCAGGACGCGGTTCCCGAAGAGCCAGGCCTGCAGGCGGTACGAGTGCCCATCAGAACACATCGGGTCTGTGTAGAACCTCTCCAGGTTACAGAAGCCATTGAATTTCTCAGGCAACAGCTTTCCATCCCCTGTGATCCTGTCCAGGTAATGGATGCCTGCTTCTGGGAAGTATTTCATCCCTGACAAAAGAGAGAGCCCCAGCAGAGCACCCACCGAAGTAATCAGTTTTGTTCATCCGCTGCAAACATCTAATCAGCTATTTAATATACAACTCTTGGTCAAACAGCCCAAAATCCTTTGGTCAATCACATCACAGAGGGCAAATAAACCCTAACTTCAAGCACTGCCACCTTTCAGCTCTCCAGGGAGAGCTGAGCTGTTCTAAGCACAACCTTGTTCCCACCAAACTCCTAATAACCTTGACGCTCCACATGCATCCATGCGGAAAATCCCTGCTCTCCAGGAGCTCAGTGAGCACACTGACTTCATCAGACCTGAAATCTCATTCACAGCATGTCACACCTACACAGGTATCCACCCCACTGACCTGACACACATCCTCATTTCAAGCTTCACCAGCATTTAATTCTCCCCTTACCCTCCCCACTCAACTGACAATTTCCTGGCCAAGACAAGAACTGCTGCTTTGGTGAACTTTCTCTGCACAAGGATAACAGTTACACTGCTAAATCCTATTAGCTTTTAGGGAAACAGCTGAAACAGGACATACCCAGTTTTTCTGCTATTTGCTCTGCCAGCTTGCCCTTCCCAGACGACAAATTTCCCTCCACTGTAAAGACTTTGCTGTACTTAGTGAACCTCTTTGTAGTTCTTTCTCCCAACATATAAGCCAACCAGCCATACTGCAGGTTCTGCTCAAGGCTGGTGTGAATTCTTGCCTGAAAGAGAACACAAGAAAATCAGCATATTTTAGGTTTTTTTAACAGCTTTTCCAGATCTTCTGCATGCACAGGATTCTCTTTCCGTCATTTAATACAAGGAATTTTCATGCAGTGGCACTTCAGCTTGGCCTCTAAGCAGGTATTGAGGCTGAGAGGCTGTTTAGGATGTAGACAGTTTGCTGTTTATAGGCAGATATTCACATTAAACCCGCTCCCAGGAGAGTGACAGCTGCATTGCAATGGGGTTTAGTGGGCAAAAGTTTGGATTTTATGACCTTGGCAGAACTTTTTCAACTTTAATTTCTGCACACCACAGTTCCCGAACACAGGTGGCACCACCTGGTCTATGTGGTTGAAGGGAGGACCTTGCTGAACCCTGCTCAACACCTCCCAGAGGCAAACAAAAACCGAACTAGCCTCATTCAGAGCACTGCAGTGACCTCACTTACACACAGGAGCTTTTGTTGTCACTTAGTGCTCTTCCGCTTTTATTTGACACTCTCTGCTTGCAGAGTCACAGATCACACTCACAATCCGAAGGTCACTGGGTCATCACACTTCACTCTCAGGCACTGACTCGAGTCTCCTCTTCACATCCCACCTCCTCGCTCAACCCCCTGCATTCACCCACAGGAAATGTCCCCTCCTTGTTCTACGCAGCCACAGGGAGCTTCCCAAGGCACTGCTCCCGAGCACAGCGACTCTGCTGGGGACGGGCAGGGAGTGACCTCAGGGGCAGAGAGAGAGAACACTGCCCAAGCGACAGCCACCCCAGA